TTTAAAATTCATAACTGTCAATATAATAGTCTCTCAAATAATGAATAAAATAATTGAGTCTCATACTGTTTCTAACATTTTTCTGCATAGGTAGTAGATAAAAATTCATTCATTGCATAGAGGCCTTAAAAATTGAGGAAAATATTTAGATGTAATATTTTAAGTCAAGATATATAACTACATATCAGTATTGTTGGAAGCTGAGATGCATTTCCAGCAATATTTAAGGAAAAAAAGAAACAGGACATGTAGGCGAAGCTGTAGCCACACCTACTTAGGGGCTGGCTACAGGTGTTTCTGACCAAGGCTTCAAGGGCATGGTCAGGGTGACATAGAGTGAGAGTTTCAGGTGGCTGGGTTTTGCTTTTGCTTTTGCTTTTCCGCTTGCTGTATAGACTGCTGCCATGTCGGCTGACTAGGCCGCTCCATAAATAAGGCTTTTCCCTATCAAATACCCTTATATTTCTACTTGGCTCCGTATTGGTAATTTCCCACTTTAAGGGCAGGGAAGCCATAAATCAGAACAAATTTTGGGAGGAGGGGCAGGAATAAGAGAAAAAGATAAGCTTATGCTTTTAGAATTAGTACTCTGGAAAACATTAGGTTTAACAATGGAGGTCTGAAAGGAGCAGTCTGGGAGAGGAACCAAGAAAAGAAAGAGAAAGGTGCTTGCAAAATAGAACATATCACTGCTTTCATTGTTGTGACAAAAACCAATGACAGAACAACATAAATAAGGAAAGGGTTATTTTCGCTCATGTTTTGAAAACAGTTTCACAATAGGAGAGGCATAGCCAGCCACAGGTGCACAAGGCAGCTGGCCACATTGCGCCCATGCTTATGGAATCCACGAGAGATGAATACTGGGACTCAACACTGTTTCTCTTCTGCAGTCGGTCTAGGACCCACTCCATCTTCTTCAGTGATCATCTGCACATTCTGTGATGTATCCTATCTTATACTTTTCTGGAAATATCACACCACCAGTGTTTCCATGGTGATTCTCATCTATATCAAGTCTATAAAAATAACCATCACAATGGACTCTTTTTGTATTGTAATTGACAGATAGTTTATGTAGGAATAGATTTAGTTTGATTTAGTAAGACAGCTATAATTCAATCTTCATAACATGAATTATGAGTCTCTCAAATTACTTAACTGATATACTCTTAGAAAATGCTACTAATACTCTTTATGATTAAGAAAATACCACAAGGCCTTTTAAGAAATTTATTGGAGTGATCAGTAATAAATAACTACTTCTTTAGCTTTATATATTGCTTACAATGTATTTTCACCAACAGGAGTACCGCAGGTTACTTTGTAACACAGAACTCCATTGAATAAGTGTGGAACATACCACCTGATATTTAGTCTTTTATGAAATTCCATAACTGAAACTATAATAGAATGAGAATTTTAGAAGCAAGAAAGGAATAAATTAACAGCTGAGCACATTCCTTTTTATTGAAAACATTTTTCATACCATATATTTTAATCACGCTCCCCTCATCCAAAACTTCGTAAATCCTCCCAACACAAAAGATCCATATCCTTTCTTTCTCTCTTTAGAAAGCAATTAAGCATAATAAAAATTAGCAAACTATCCTTAACAAAGTGACAAAGAAAAGCAAACACACACCCATACCCATATACCTTCCCACAACCAAACACACACACACACATAATACCACACACACACACACACATAAACACACACACACACACACACACACACATAAAACCACACACACCCACACACACACACACACATAATACCACACACACACACACACACACACATAATACCACACACACACACATAATACCACACACACACACACATACACACACACACACACATAAAACCACACACACACACACACATAATACCACACACACACACATAATACCACACACACACACATAATACCACACACACACACATAATACCACACACACACACATAATACCACACACACACACATAATACCACACACACACACATAATACCACACACACACACATAATACCACACACACACACACACATAATACCACACACACACACACACACATACACACACACACACACATACAACACACATGCGCAAAGATACACATATTAGTCTATAAAACACAATGATGGTAATATAAAAAAATGACCAAATAATTTAAGACAACAGGTCCTCAACATACCATTGAGGTTGCTTGTATTGATCATATACTCCTTATCATGGGGACTGCCAGTAAGTGTGGTTTCTGCACACTGTGATACTTTATTGGTGAAAACCATTCTTTCCATTAGAAGCTCCTGTCAATTAGACATAGCTTCTGGATTAGGGATGTGAGCCAGTATCTAGTTCCCACAGTCATCATTGGGACCCCAATGGGTTTGAGCCTGTTCTGGGTAGGTGCATGTTTTTATAATCTCTGGGAATTCATATGTACATGTCTTGCTCTTTGTGTCTATAGCATATTGTTTTCTTGGAATGATCTATCACTTCTGTCTCTACCATATTTATGCCTCTTCTGCAGAGTTCCATGGGCCTTGAGGGCAAAGGTTACTTTATACTCACATAGCTTATACATAATATAAAATTAGTAGTATAAATAAATGAGGTGAAACATCTATTATTTCAACAACATTGACAGCAAAGTTGATTTGTATAGTTTGTCAAAATACAGATAAAATTCTTGGATATTATGTTTCACTATTGTCATTAGAAGCCATTCAAAATTTGCATAGAGCATAAAGACCTCTGATTCCCTTAGAATGAAACAATTCTATAACAATTATATAACTGTTTATTGAAATCACCTTTTTTTCCCCCTATACTAAATCCTGATTACAGGTTACCCTCCTACCCATCGAAGTTCTGCCCCAGCTCTACCTCACCTACTTCCCAGATCAAGTCCCTTTCCGTCTCTCATTAGAAAAGAATATGCTTCTAAGATGTAGCAACAATAAATTAAAAAAAAAATACAATAAGCTGAGGCAAAAACTATCATAATGAAGGAGATATTTACTCCTTTCTCATAAGTTATTATTTGTGTATAGCTCTTTATGCAGGGATGGAACTACTGAAATTTTTAGTTTATACATTTTTATTTTAAATTCAATTCAATTTAAATTGAATTCAACCAACAACAGTTCACTCTCCCTCCTCCCCCAAACCCCACCTTCACCACTATCCCATCCACCTCCAGAAAGGGCAAAGCCTCTGGTGGGAAGTAAACAAAATCTAATCTTAAAAATAATCCCGTTGGAAAACAAATACATTAACTTCCATTTTTTGTAGAATGTGGTGGCTTGAAGGAAAATGCCCCCCATTGAGAGTGGTACTTTTAGGAGGTATGGCTTTGTTGAACTAGATGTAGCATTGTTGGAGGAATTGTGTTACTGTGGGGGTGGGCTTTCAGTGAACAGTTTTTGGATTAATTCTGTTGGCAGAAGAAATCTTAAAATAGCCTAGTATGGACTCAGTCACATATTTATTGGTGCTTACTCCAATGAAGATTTATAAAGAAAAGGAGCAAGCTGGGCAAGAAAAACCACAAAATGTACAATTTGAGAAGAAAGGGAGCACTAGGAATTGGAATGGCACCAAGTCAGGTGTTTGAAGAGAAAAAATGTACTAAGGAATGGCATAAAGGGAGTGGTGGCTTCAGGGTAAGTTACCACCCAGTTAAATTTACAACTTGTGAAAAGCAGTTAAAGAAAAGCTTAGAGCCAGGTGTGGTGGTGCACATCATTAATTCCAGCACCTTAAAGCAGAGGAAATCAGATCTCTGAGTTTGAGTCCAGCCTCCTCTACAGAGCAAGTTCCAGGAAACCCAAGCTAAGTCAGTGAAGGAAGTCATCAAAAGAAGAAAGCTGTTTAAGGTGTAATTCATTAAGGGGACCAGGATAAAGCCCCAGCAAGCAGCAGGACTTGTAGCTTCAGCTATGTGGTTCTGTATTTGCAGTCAAGGATAGAAGAAATGGGTTATGGGATTTTCTTTCACTTCTAGGGAAAGTCTCTGAGGTCAGGCATGTTTCAGGGACATCTCTGATTGGAAGCCTAGAGAGGCCACTGAATGCAGCTGTGAATTTGAAGCCTGGACTTTTTTGATAATCTGAGATGTTGGATATGCCTGAGATGTGTGATTCCTGTCAAGAAAACCTGCTAACAGGGATTGGAACCAGTCCAAGAGACAAAATTTTGTTGCAGTCAACAAAGCTGAAAGGAGTTGGAAATCTAAAGAGCACTTTGACATCAGAAATGGAGATAAAGAGTTTGGAATTTACCCAGATGATTTTGTGTCCTGCTTTGGTACAATATTTTCTTTACTATCTTTACTTTCCTTCATTTGAAGCAGTAATGTATATCCTGTGTCATACGTTTGAAGTATGTGGTCTACACTTTTGATTTTGATTTTAGAGGTGATTACAGTTAAGAGATTGGATCATTCTGTTATTCAATAAATGCATTATTCTAACTTCAGACTTAAATAACTTTGAGACTGCTATAGGGGACTTTTGAAGGTAGACTGAATGCATTTTTGCATTATGATATGTCCACTAATCTATGGGGACCCTGGAGTAGAATGTGGTGGTTTTAAAGAAAATGGCCCCTGTAAGCAGCAGCACAATTAGGAGGTGTGTCTTTGTTGTGTTAGATATGTCCTTGTTGGAGGAAGTGTTGTAGCATGGACTCTAATTCGTTTTAATAATAGAAACGTAGAGTCAGTTATAGGGGTTAATGCTGAAAGATCAGAGAACCAGAGCAGATAGCCACTAATTCTTACCTCTAATAAATGCTCAGACCATAGGGGTGATCCCATCCATATGAATACTCGCGATGAATGCAATGAGTCTCTGTCACCTCCTGCCTTGTGTTTCTGTCTGCATGAAGCCATTTCACTCTTGTAGTGCTAGGATCTAAGGCATGTGACTCCGAAGTACTGGGATTAAAGGTGTGTGCCACCACTGCCTGGCCTCTATGGCTAACTAGTATGGCTGCCTTTGCTTTCTGGTACTTCAGGTAATATCTAACTATGTATCTATCTATCTATCTATCTATCTATCTATCTATCATCTATCTATCTATCTATTTTTTCATCATCATGAAACTTTTTTTCCATTTTTTCATTTGATTTAAAAACAAGATTGTTTTACATGTCAATTCTAGTTCCCTCTCCCTCCCCTTCTCCTCTGACAATCCCCAACTAACAACCTACCTATCACATACCCTATTTGCTCCCCTCCCTCCATGTTCCCAATTTGCTCAGGAGATCTTATCCCTTTCCCATTCTCTGGGGGACCATGTATATCTCTCTTAGAGTCCTCCTTGTTCCCCTAGCTGCAATGGTAGTGTGGCTTTTAGGCTGAAAATCTTTTGCTCTATGTCTAAAATTCATATGAGTTAGTACATACCAGGTTTTTCTTTTTGTGACTGGGTTACCTCTCTCAGCATGGTTTCTTCTATTTCCATCCAACTGCCTGTGAATTTCAGGATTCCATTTTTTTTTCTGCTGTGTAAATGTACCACATTTTCTCTATCCATTCTTCAGTTGAAGAGCATCTAGGATCCTTCCAGATTCTGTCTATTACAAATAGTGCTTCTACGAACATTGTTGAAAAGATGTCCTTTTGTCGCAAAAATCATAAGTTTAGGACTCTAAGTCAACTCCTTCAATGAAATACAATTATCATTACCAGTAAACATGCTTTTGCAAGACAAACCACTTTCTGTTGGATATTTTTAAATGGAAATGTTACTCTTTAGGAAAGTGGTTAGTTTTTATTGGAAGTCCAAATAATCTGTGTGTGTGTGTGTGTGTGTGTGTGTGTGTGTGTGTGTGTGTGTGTGTGCATAAACACACACACATGGGTTTATGCATGTAAAGATGTATATAGTATTCTTTCCTCATTCTCTCTGTGTTTATGTGGGACAAAGATTGAAATCACTTTGGTTTCTCAAATTCTGTCCATAATTTTATTTGAGATAATTACTTTCACTGAACCTTATCTTCAATAAATAAAACTCCTAGCTATCCAAAGAATCTGAGGCCTCTATCCATGTCTGCATTCCCTATGCTGCAATTAGACAGGCAATCTTTCACACCTGGCTTTAACTGCATAGTAGAAATCAAAAGAGAGTTTTATATACATGTGTAGCAGGCAGTTGACTAACTCAACAAACTCCTGATTAATTCTTGATATTTAGGATACCTCAGTTATTTCCTCATATGTATCACCCTCTGACCTGAAAAATGGGAACAATAAGTAAAACATCTCCATATATGCATCTTTGAAAACACCTTATAAAACAATGAAAACCATTTTGACCTTTAAAAATCATGGATTATTATGGATAGGATTAACAGACATGCCTAAATTGAGAGATAGCTTTCTATGCCTTACTATATTCAGATAACCAAATAATGTCTACTAATAAACCTGCAGGAAAAATTTTAATTAAATATCAGGATCAAGTCTTTGACTTCTTAATTACTTTGTAACCAAAGTTATTAGGCAATTTCGTCATTGAGTAAACCTCTTTCTGATGATGATGATGATGATGATGATGATGATGATGATGATAATTAAATGTTTGTATTATATAATTCTAGTACTGTACATGGATAATTGAAAAAATCTGGTATATATGTTTTGCTCATTTACATGTGAATAAGAATGACTTATTTAACATTTAAAAGCAATATTATGATATCTGGAACTATATGTGAATCCTAAACACACAGCAAACAGTGATATTCTCTCAAAGCACTTATGAAGATGTGCAGCTATATCTTTCTGAAAGATTCATTTCCTTCCCCTTTTTAGTGAGCAATAGAGAAGTAAGTCCACAGACAGCTACACCCATAACCACAAGTTAAGCACTTCATCTTCTAACGCTATATTATTTGAAGTACTACATTTTTCAATTTCTTTCAGGATAAACTGATAAAATTTCTATATTGGTATTAAATTCAGCAATTCCACTCAGTAGAATAATTTTATCTTCACTTTGCAGTTCCTGGAATACCTCGGGGTATTTTCTGGTTTTATCTTTGTTGCCAGAAGTATTTATGCATTAAACTAGGACCACATATACTTTAACCAACTTGATCTTTATTATACTGGTGCACAGGTTACTACTTAGACAGAGATTAACAAGCCAGCGAAAGTGCTCTCTGGGGATAGTGAGTCTACTCTGTTGAGAGGGTCAAATACATTATCCATTTCAAATCCTAGAGGCTAGAAAACAACTTTAACATGTTACATATCCTGCTGAAATGATTTCTATATTGTATTCCACTGGAGATGCTCAGCTTTCCATCATTATTCTATGCAATCACTGAAATTATATTGTTAGGCATTCACAGGATTCAATCATGTTCAGTATCTATTCTCTGCTATTGAAACGCCCTTGAATAATGTTATAATTTTGTTCATGCTGTTTTATGTGGAGATAGTCTTAGTAAGTTGTTTAAAAATGCTTAATGAAAATTAAGGTACCTAAGTTTGATGAGAAAAGAAAATTAAGATGTTAAAATTCACCACAATTACAAGTCCCACTTATCAAAATAAATTAGTGGCAAATTTTCATCACAGGGAGAATAAGATGATTTGTGCAAATTTTTGTGTATATGAATCTGGAAGATAATATCTTTGCTATTTAAATAACTAAAATAATCAATTAGTAAAATATAGTTAAGATTTGTCTCAACAGGTTAGAATATATATTTAGTACTCTTAAGTATCTGAGTTAAGTTTCTAACACCAATATCAAGTGGCTCCAACAGCTTTTATTCCAACTTCAGGTTATCCTAGACTCTCTGCTACAGGGGAAATGACACTCATGTGCATATATTACCTGTTTCACATAATATAAAATAAGACTAATCCTTTTTTGTTGGTTTTTCGAAATGGGGTTTCTCTGTAGCTTTGGAGCCTATCCTGGTACTTGCTCTATAAACCATGCTGGCCTTGAACACACAGAGATCCTCCTGCCTCTGCCTCTGCCTCCCAAGTGCTGGGATTAAAGGCATGTGCCACCAATGCCTGGCTAAGACTAATCTTTTTAAAGGCTTGGACATAGTATTAAACAAAAACTGCTTAAAACATCTCATTATTACATTATCTGGTAAACTGTAAGTTCAGTTGTGGTGATATATTATTTATGATTTAATAAAGTTTGCTTGAGGGTTCAGGATGCTACCAGCCACAAGCTTTAGAGTTCAGGCAATGGTGATACACAGCTTTAATCCCAGGATTCATGAGACAGAGTCAGGTGGATCTCTCTGATTTCAAGTTCTTGCTGGCCTACACAAGAGTGAATCAGTCTAAAAGAGAATTAGAGCTTCTGCCTTTAAGCCCAGCCCTAGAGAGGAATATAAAAGATAGGATCCCCATTTTGGGGCTGCATTCTGAGATTTAGTCTCCAACATGTTGAGGAATGGCAGCAGTCTGAGACTTGGAGGAGAGCTCATGGAGACTGGATCAACCCTTTTAATCTGAGAAAGAGGTAAGCCCTAGTGGGCAGCTATTTTGTGTCTCTGATCTTTAGCTTGAAACTTGAACCCCAATATCTGTCTCTGTGTTTTTATAATTTGTGTTACATTCAGTATGCTACTTTTCTTAGTCCAATTGTGTATACAATCCTTATCATGATTTAAACTTATAGTATAAGAATTAGAGCACTTTAAATAATTTCAGGATAATGTGTTACACAATGGCATTAAAGTGCAATCCCTCTCTTCAACTTAAACCCAATATGTCAAAGTAAAAGATTTGATTATATTATGTTTACACAGAATTTTTTATTTTAAAATATATTTTTTCTTTGATAATATTTATTATTTACCTCATAGATTTACTGAATGAAAATGCAATCAAGCTAGATGTTATCCTTTAGGAAAAACAGGAAAAAATTTGTATTTATTCTGTTTTAGGAATATTATTGTGTGCAAAGAGGGCTGTAGTTATTAGCAAAATAGAGTGTACCAAAAATTTAGCTAGAGTACTCTTTAAATTCTCTTAAGATAAAAACAGCAGCAGAGGTAAATGTTACAATAAATCTTTCTGCCCAAAGCGGCCAAGCCCCACCTCTACATGTGCAATCTCCACCAGCTGCCCACCCAAGTTACGGCCCCAAATAATGCACAGAGAAACTTGTATTAGGTACAATGCTGCTTGGCCAATGACTAGGATTCTCATCTGTTAGCTCAGTCTCAATAACCATACATCTATATATTTTATAAGACTTATCGTACACCTTATAGGCATCCCTCTTTGCTGGTGGATCACATTGCTCCACTGGAGGAAGAGCAGAGGGGAAAAAGGGAACACTTCCCATTTCCTTTGCTTATATATGAGTCTCCTTGCTATGTCACTTCCTGCCTGCAGCACCACTTCTCTACTACATTTCCCAGTATATATATATATATATATATATATATATATATATATATCCTCATATATAAAAATAAGATACATACATACATGCACACATACACACACATGTATAATCAATATAACATACTGTGCACTTTAAATATATGTATTCATATTTTTATATAGTGAAAAGCATGTGTTTAAGTGAAATGATAGATGATTCATGACTATTTCGATCTCCTGACATAAGGATGAATAAGATTTAAAATAAAAGCTTGAGAAAGATGAAAATTGTGGGCTACTAGAGAAAGTAGAAACCACACTGTCACCATGTGTTCTCAGAGAACTGAGAAGAAATAGAGCAGAATCCCTACCAGCCATGATATCCTATTGATCTGAATGCTATAGTTCCCTTAGTAATATCTCAAACAAGCAGCAAGGCTACACTGAACCAAAAAGATTATAACAATATGAATATTACAAAAAAACCTATGGTATACACTAAAACTACTTTAAACATCATGACTGCCATTGCAGTGAGGGATAGGTCTTTATTATAAATGATAGAGCAAAACATTATATATTTTCTTGACCCTTTTTCTCTCATTGAAAGCATCTCCTCTCCTTTGAGATTCCTCTTTGTCTGCCCTTGTTCCTGAAACCACTTACAGCATTTTAACCCATTTTTATTTTCACATTAGAATGTAGCATACTTGTTGAACCCCGATTTTATATTTTTATCAATTCCAAGACAAGTTTGTAATTCTGAACTTTCACATCAACAGGAGGAAATTTAACAAATGTATCCTAATAAAGACTGACATGTACTCCATACTCCTAGTCACTGAACTTGAGCCCTGTTTTTAGTAAGTGTGTACTGTAGCTATTTGATTTTTAAACTATAACATGCCCTTCATGAATGAAGAAAGAAAGCACCTGAATGCACCAAAAAAGCTACAAGATTCAAAAATACCCCTGTACTTCCAACTCCAGGATATATGAACAATCATCACTTGCAGGCCAGGGAATGAGATATTTGGTGGACATATGCCTATAGTATGTAGGAAGCCCAACTTTACAGTCAGGATTCCCTAGCAGAAAAAAACAATAGAATGAATACATAATAAAAGAGGAGTTGGTTGATTGGTAAATACAGTATGATCCATGGAGTCCAATAATGTCTGTCATTTTCCTCACTGGCAGACTGAAGGGTCACCAGCAGCTCTACTGGAGTAAACCATGTAAGGGGTTCTCCCTCTTGCCCAGTCTTCGCTAACTGCCATGGTCTGATGTGAAAATATAGGCTGAAAATGTGCTGTCAATGTTTCCATCAGTAATTGAAGGACATAAGCTTCATTAAATTGGACTAAGCGACCTTATACGGATTATTCAAGACTATTTACCCAGTGACACAGATCATGCTAGTCTTTGTATATAAATAATAATAGAAAAATGAAGACCCTCAGAACAAAATTGTATCTTCTTACTTCAGTTGATCTCCTTCTGCGGAAATCCTCCTTTTCAGATGAAATCCTTCACAAATGAATGTGCAAAAAGACTTGTTTGTTAGGGTTTTAGAGATCAGGTCAAGTGACAATAATTACTGCTCTACACATTAGAGATGCAGCTTTCTTGCTTTTTCCTCTCTGTTTTGGAAATAGAGTCTTTTCTCATACAATATACCCTGATTTCAGTTTCCCTTCCTCCTACTCTTCCCAGCTCCTCCCCTCTACCATTCCTAACCATATCAAACCCTTTTCTGTCTTTCCAGTGAAGAGCAGACTTATACAGGATAAAGACAAAATATATCAAGATAAATTATAAAAAGATAAATAAAAAAACATCACATTGAAGTTGGACAAGAAAACCCAAACAGAAGGAAAAAAGCCACTAGAAAGGCACAAGAGTCAGAGACGCAGTTTTTCACACACCATAAAAATACTAAAATGAAAGCTGTAATATATGTAATAATATATGCAATGCACCTTTCTCTCATACTAGAGTGGCTCTTTATGTGATGTAGCTGTCTGGCTCACTCATGACCCTGTAAGTAATACTCACATATCCTCTATTCTCTATCCTCATTAAGCTCACTGGCTCATCAAACTAGACATGATAGAATTGTTTGCTATAGTTTCCCTTTCTTGGGTGTAATAATGTTTGTGATATTTCCTTAAAACATCAAACTAAATGAGATTATCAACCTTTCCTGAAATATATGAACAGATGAAAAATTACTAGACTATTTATTTCTAAATTATTGAATAATAAAATATTGATCATATAGTTTACATTTTATCATGTATTAGCTCATCACTAATGTTTTGACATAATCTAAACAGAACAAACTGAACATAATGAATGAAGAAAATTAGAATTAAACAGCACAAATTCATAATGAAAATATCTTCCAGTCAAGAATTTTTAACCTCCTCCTCTTCATGCTTAAACATTCTTTACACTGACAGTCTAATAGTAGTTGTTTGGTTTTTACTTTTTAAGTTTACTCTAAAAGTCTTGACTCTGGAAATGGAGTGGACCCCAGTTGAGTTCTAAGCACCCATATCAGAACCCCTCAAGTACTTTCATTTCCATGTAGACACACACACACACACACACACACACACACACACACACATTCATGCATGTGAACACAGGCATATCCAAATATTTATTAATTTTAAAATTCCAGGTCAATAGAAGATCAAGTATAAGCAGTATTTTAGGAAATTCTCCTTCCTTTAGGTTGTTGTTTTTTTTAAATTTGGGGATTATATAAAATTAGATCATTTCTTCCTTCCATTTCCTCCTTCCACAGCTTCCCCAAATAACCATCCTTACTTTCTTTCAAATATGTGGCCTTTTTTTCATTAAAATGCTCAGAAGAATGCAAGCCCATTTTGGTAGGTTGTTCTCTGAAATTCATGTGTGCCTCACAAGAAATTGCATATATGGCACACACAGGAGACTTCATGTGTGACACACATGAAAGTGCAGATGCATGCCACACACACTGAGTATAATTAACAGCAACAATTACAAAAGTATAGGAGAAACTAGAGTTGGAGTCATTTAAATACAATGTAGAGATTAATGAAAATCCAATTAAGGAGAAAAAAATAAAGGTATACAGAATATCAAGGTTGAAAATAAATTTTATAATAGTCAACAAATCCAATTTTGGCTTTTAAGTAATTAGTAAAACTGTTACTATTTCATTCTAATTAGTCAAACACAAATAAGAGAGAAGAACTCAATTGTTCTTAACTGAAGTAAAAGAGGACATAGTTCTGTATATGCTACAAATATTAAAGTTGTATTTTGATATTGTATAAATACTTAATTTTGTGAGTTTGGTCAATTTCTTTAAATTTGTCAAGTTTTACTTATTCGAAATTTGATTGTAGATGCCAGGCATTAGGCTTGGGCAGCCCCCATGCATATTCCCAGAGTCTGGGCCACCACCTTTATTTTGACATGTAATTCAGAAAAGCCAATTTTGAACACAAACTACTGGCTTCCATGCACCTCACTTCCTGGTGCTTTTACCTTTCCATAATTTCTTTCTACTTGAAGGTGAAAAGGGCACATTAATTACATGAATAACAGAGAAGTAATTGAAGGTCACTCACTCTTGAGACTGTATTATCTTACGTAAAATCCTTTTGATTGTAGGTTCCATTTAAATTCTTGCTTTGCCCAGTTTGTCTTTGAGAAATCAAATTTCCCAGGTTTCTGTACCAGCAAAGGAATATTTTTTTTGTATAGAAATGAGAGAAAACTCAAATGTCTTTTTTCCTTGGGCCCCCAAAAGAAAGATCAAGTTATGATTGGTGTGTGAAATCTACAGAAGACCTCTCTAATACCTTTTTAATGTCTTAAAGTAGGAAAGTAGAATAGAATAAATTCTATTGTTTAATTGCTTGCATGTGTGTTTAGATGTGCAGAAAACAAGTACAAATACAATATAAAAATAAATTCCATTTTGTATGCTTCACTGGAACATATTGCTCACTGCCTTGTAAGTGTCACCATAATGAAGAGAGTCATATACAGGCCAGATAGCAGAAATATGCTTTCTTTTTAAAATATTATATATTTTACTTTTTGAGATTACACCATAATCACAACATTTATGTCTTCCATTTCCCGCTTCCTTCTATATATCATCCACTGCCTTTCAGAATTCAGAAAAAAGGTGTTGGCAAGTGGGATGAAGCTGTTGGAAAGGTGTGTTACTCAGGAAAGGTGCCACATTTGAAAAAGTGCTCCCTACTCCTGTGTGTTGATGTTTTTCTCCATGAGAATTTTCTCCTTCATAATCTAGTTTATGAAGGCAGCAATCATACTGGGTTGTATTTCACTCCACTCATTTCATTTAAACTTAATTTACTTACGAATAAGCTTTTCACTTGCATAGTCACACTGTGAAGTATATATACAAAAGGGATAAACGTTAAAATTTGTGAGTGAGCAGAGCACATATGCATCCTGAAGTGGTGCAAATTTATTTTTTTTTATATTTTAGAAGCACACTTATTTTACATATCAATCCCTCCATTCCCTCACCTCCCATCCTCTCATGCTCCCCACCTCCCCCAACTCATCCCCCATCAACTCCCCAGGGATAGTGAGGCCCTCCACAGGGGACTATCAAAGTCCTTCACATTATATGGGGGAAGGGCCTATACCTACAGGATACCTATACCTGCTACTTCTAGATTATATAGCCTCAAAGGCTAAATGAAATAATGAAAATAATTGACAAAAACTCCTCCAATTTGTAAATGATAAGTTATTTATAGATGCCATAGTAATGTATAGAGAATATTCTGGTTATTTCCCATATACTGGGAACTGACAATATGATATTGAGATACACAGGATATACCATTAAAAAGCACATAAAACTGGGGATAGGACAAATCTGATACAGAACTATTATTCCCATTAATGATTTAAGCAAGACAAGTGATAAGATCAAGGCCATGAAATAAAACTCCTAGGAGGTTTTAAAAGCTAATTCTTTTAAAATATTCTATATAGTAAAACTATTCGCAAATACAAACTGCCAGATATCTGTCTAAAAATTAGCAAGTTGATTTGTATCAACATGGAAATAATTAGCATAGTCATCTGTAAAGATCTGTAAAATATATATAATTAAAGCATTCATACAGCCAGACTTTAGACTTTATTTTAAAGTTGAAAGAACATCAGAAAATATGGTATTGACATAGAAATAGATACAAAGCAAAATAAACAGAATGGAGAGAAAAGTCATACTTATTTTAAAATATCAATATTCTCTATGCATTTGCACACTAATTCAATTTATAAATTGACTTTTATCAAGGTGCCCTAGGGGTATAATAGCAAAATCATACTGTTCAAGAAATGATACCTAAAGATTGTTAATTCATATGAATTAATTAAGTAAATAAATCAAACTTAATTATCATCATACAAAAATTCTCAAACATAAATCCTACAATGAAAAGTGTTAAATTCTTCATCTTAGACGAAAACACAGGGCAAATTTTACTAAGCTACCTTTGATTGTCACACAAAGTTTGGCCTAAGAATCTACAAATAAATATAACTTCCAAAAATTCAAATATTGTTCTTGTAAAATAATGTTCAACCTGAAGATGAAAGGGGGAATCCACAGAGAAGAAGAAATAGTTTGTGAAGCATGAATCAATAAAAGAGACGTATCGTGACTCTTCCTGGAAGCCTACAACTCGATATCCCGGCCATGAATTACTGAGTATTAATGTATGAAGCAGAACAGGCACAAAATAAAGAAGGCAATGGGACACATAATGACCTCCAATATTGTCCAAGAAAGGAAATTCAATTGCAATGACTTTCCTATGTGTACGCATTAAAGTTGCTAAAATTGAAGAGATTCACGCTCATGATTGTCACTAAAGATATGGGATCCAAGTACAAACTGAATCAATCACAGAATGTGAAAACAACTTTGTAAAGCACTGTATCAACATTTTTGAAATATGAACATTGCAAATCATATAACACAGAAATGAAACTTGTATCTATTTTCTTTTAAATATCAAAGTAAGGGTTTAAAAGAATTCTATGTGAAGTCTTGTAGAAAATGTAACCATAATCAAAGGGCAAACATTTGATGTCCTTTTAAGAAAAAAACAGACTGTTATACATTCAGTGATTCCTACTAGCCAGTAACATGGGGCTGATGTGGCCCGACATTCCACTATTGAGCCGAACAAAACCAGACAACAATGCATACTACAAAATTTCAGGTTTATCGCTTCTGCAAAATTCAATCTAATTTGTAGAAAAACTACAATTACTGACTGTAATTCAGACTACTATATGAAGTCCC